TAGCTATCAGTCTTTCACTGAAATAGTCGGTAAATACCAATATCCCATATATATCATCAGTTATGGCATAACTTTCGAAATATCTCGCCATATTTCCAATATATTGCACAATTTGATCAAGAAGTTGCTAAGTGCATCGGAGGTCTAGTGTGCTACTCGGTTTCAAGACATAAAAGCAAAGCTGACAACGTGCTCGTACAGCAACCATGTCAAGCAATGGAATAGAGAGCAGAAATGATAGAGGTGGAAGAGTGGAAAACGGAATAGAGTGGTTGGGGGTGGCGCACGCGCACACCCCCGCTGGCAAAAATTGCACTGTGGAAACACCCGAGGGTGCTCCTGAGCCATTACAGCACCGGAGTGCGTGAAGGCCTGCTCCGGCTCATGTCAACCGCCTTGTTGATCACGGTCGAGCACCAGTCAGGTTTGAGGAATGTATTACTCGGGCTGTTAAGCACTCTAGGCGGGGAAGGCCAAGGAGCGTCGGCTTGCGGTGGAAGTTGACAATAGAGAAGCGAACCGAAATCGTACACGTGAGTCCCAAGATTTTGCGGGCGCGCCCAACGTTTGGGAAAGGCCCTCTTGGTCGCAAGGACCAGAATCCACATCACTTACGCAGCTCTCGCAGGCCCACCCGGCCGACCCTGGAACACCGACCGCGAGCTGCTGTGCCGCCGCCAGATTTGTCGACTGAGTCGGATGTGGTTGGAGGAGAGTTGGGTTTGGAGTTTGGTGGCGGCGCTACGGGAGAGGTTGAAGGTGGAGGTGAGGACTGCTTGGTTGTCGGGCAAGACCGAGCCGAGGGACCCGAAGATGAGTGCACACGGCGACACGTCGTAGCCCTTGGAGCCCAGGAAACGAGAGAGCCGACCATACTTGTCGATCTTCTCGGCGGCGCGCGTCTGGAACCCCGTGAGGCCGCTCCCTTCGATGTTGCCGTCGTCGAAACTCACAGCGAGGTCGCATATCGCAGCAGTCTTGTTGGCGTCGTCCACGAGGATGATGTCGGGCTTGAGAAGGGCGTCAGTGAATTCGGGCAACGGCTGCTCGACGAGGAGACGGCACGACGGGTTGGCTTTGGCGATCGCCGCGGCAATGCAGCGAAGGGAAAGGTCGTGACGGGCGCGAATCGAGGCTTCGTTGTGGGGGCAATGCTGCAGGACATGGGGAAGCGTCTCGGTCTCGGTACGGCCGCAGTGACGACACGAAGAGTTGGAGTTGCCATGGGTGCGCTTCAGGACAGCGCGGGTCGCAATCAGGTTCATACGGGCGGCAATGGCAAAACGGTATTCGCAATCCAACAACCCACCTCCGCGGGACAGAAAACGACTGCCCAGGCCTTCGTGGGCACCGACCGTGCGACCTTGATCCTGCAACTCGCACCACGCGTTGTAGTGCATGGTGCGCATATGAGTCTTGAGCTGGCGGAGAACGGTCTTGGTCGTCGCTGGAGGTCGAAACGAGGGAACGTGGAGTTGAAAGCACGTTGTTCCGACACCGGAGAACTGAAGCTTGGCGCGACGAAGGGCCCGTTGGATGTCGATCCACATGTTGGAAGGGTCCGACCGGTACGTCGCCTTGAGGAAA